ACATGTGACAAAAGTGGCTTAGCTTGAGGCTAGTGGATCTGTTACCCCACTATGTGTAACAAACTTCTCCCCCTTTTGCAACCCCCCAGCTGCCAACCCCCCAGCTGCCCCCCTTTCTTAGTAACCCCGAGAAATGACGTCAAAGTGCAACAATTTGATTATCTGGGGTTTTTTGGAGATACTCGGATATCTAAGAGATTCATCCCTCAAACAAACCCAAACCAATAACCAAGCCGAATTACTATCACGTTTTCACTGCTAAAAACAGAACACATGGTTATCATTTGCCAATGATCTTCAATTGACGAAAACATACTAATCAGTTACTTGGCATATAGAGACAGCTATCGATACTTGCGTATCCATTACATTCTAGGTCACATTCATTCAGGAAATTCTTGGCGCGACTCGCTTATGCCAGCTCTACCTCGATTACCCCCTCGAATCCTCGGGGGTCCATCGTGATAGAGGCCATCTCCAATCCCGCTTCGTTGATAACGTGCTTCCACTCAGCCTCAGTTCTCTCATAAGCCGACAGGTTCGCCACTATGACAAAAGTTAGCATTTTCTTCTAGCTGTAAGGATTCGAGTAAATCTCGAGGTATAGGTACTTACTCAAGGCAATGTCCAAAGATGCTTGGTACATGCTCGCGCCCGTACGCGGCATCACAATCTCGCATATCAGGATCTTAGAGTATCCCTTCTTCAGTGCTGGTCTGAGATTTCGCAAAATCTGAATGACCAAATCGTCCGGCCAATCGTGGAGTACCATATGTAAAAAATACGCGCGGCTCCCTATTATACACAATTAGTTCTGACTGACTCATAATTGCTGACAAAGATCAGACTTCGGTATAGAAAATGGAAATCTTACCGTGAAGGGGCTCTGGCGTAAAGAAGTTATACTCCATGAGCTTAATCTTGTCTGTATTGAGATCGAGGCCGGAAATGGCGCCGGCTAGGTCTTGGAGAACTAGAGACCCCGCTGGTAGGTCTGGATGCTTACCCAGAACCTTGAGGAGATCAGCGCCATGGAGACCCCCGACGTCGACGATGAGCGGGCCAGAGGATAGATCCGCTCCCTCAATAAGAGAGTCGGTATCATAGAACTCCGTCCACGGGACTCTGTACTTGGAGTACTCGTACAAGAAACCTCTAAGACTATCGCGGTAGCCTTCGTTGGTGAGGAACCTATCGAATATGGGCAATTTCTCCGGGGTGGCATCAATGTAGCTTGTGTTCTTCGCATCTTTGGGCTCACGATATGATGTCTTGGCCAAAAACGCTGGTAAATTCATGTGGGACAAGTCCCAGTGATCGGTCCTGTGGCACGTCAGCAGTTACGAAATCTCAATTGACTAGGGACGACCTACTTCGAAATGATGGCTTGCGCCATACAGGTAGAATCATCGCCAATGGAGAATGAGAACTCCGTCGGCTTATACCGATCCTCTCCTGTTTCTTCGATGATGTTTGCAGCCCCTAAGAGCCGAAGCAGTCGACCTATTCGAAAGTTAGCTTTTCGGTCACGACTTTAGATAAGGTATCGCTAAACTTACGTAGTAGGTTTTGCTCGCAGGCGGTTGTGGTCAGCTTCGCCAATTCCGAAACATGTTTCTCTCCCCCGCCGACTGCCGTCCACTCGTGCCAAAGACCAATATCGAGGCAGATTCTCAGAGCCGAATCTACAAGCGATTGTTGGTATGCAATCTCATAAGCCTTTTCTCCATTCGATTGAAGTCGGCTAACTAATTTGCGGGCACTTTCCAGCATCTTAAGTCTCTCTATGTTGTGGCCCTCGAAGTCGGCGGCTGTGAAGGCCTCGAGTTTATTCAGAACCCAACCAAGTTCTTCCATTTCCAATGGTAGACTTGAGGTAATATATGGTAGATAATTTGGGATTTATGAACTCCTTAACCTACTTGATCTAGTAAGGGTGGCCTTTCAATTATATAGTATGGATGATCCCGATGGATGATGGTGATATTGTTGACGTTCGGGAAGACGTGTTCTTATATAAGTGATTACCATCTAACACAATTGTAGTGTGTGAAAATACTCTAAGTACCTACTCAGTTTCAGAAAAAACAAAGTCAGGGTATCGCGTGATAAGAGAAAAATCAAATCAAAATCGAAGGTGATTAGTTTGATAAAGCTTTCTGACACTTTTGTTATTCCAATATAGGCAATGCTGTTCATGATACGTGCCACATCGATGAGATGTCACCTAACCAATTTCAAAACAAAAAAGCACAACCTGGTCACAGTGACTCGACACCTAAGCAGATACCTAACCAAAACAGCCAATCGTGACATAACTTCTCGGACGCTCTATCCAAATGCAGAGTGATAGTTTATACACTAAGACGGCGCGGTGCTCTCGTGCATTACTGATTTCATCATTCAGCACCCAACAGCCGTCCGCGGAAGCACCGATATCTGTCTGCTTAGAAGCATATGATGCCTAAGACGTACTGAGTAAGGCGACACGGTATTAGGTATATGACATTACCACGGAGTTAGGAGTCAGTCGCAGCTATCCGCCATTTTAGGTCATCCGCAGCATCTTGCGGTCTCGTAGACATACAAATCATGCTGGTATTAGTTAAGCCGATATTCTCGTAATACGGAATCCCCTTTTATACCGATATAAAAAGCAAAGCGGCGATGGGGAGTGGGGGTATACCGAATCGAGGTGCCATGTGCCCGTGTCAGCTCGCTTATGAGGGGAGTTGCACTTTTTAGTACCTGGGACGGGTGGATGTCATTGGCCGTGCTGGCGATTAGGATCTCGTCCCCCTCCCCCAATCCATTTTGTGACGCCTACTTTTTCGGTGTTGGCAACATCACCGCGGATGACGTTGGTGACGACAGGCGTGACCATGCCAGCTTCGTGCGAAGAATGCCTCCTCCTCGACATCCCGCGCGCTATCCGTCGGCTGCAACATACGGTGGGGACAGGCCGGCCTGACGATGACGAGGCTGGGTGGATGTACGGTTGGCACTGCCATGCCCGCGACGTTTTCCGCTGTGCTGAGCTGATAAGGTGCGGACTGTGTGTCGAGGTGGCGAGGTCTTGGCAAGATTACCGCGCCGCTGCTTTCGTCGACAGCTCGCGAGACGGTATGACAAATGCGCGTGATCCACCGGACAACTTCGGCGCAGATGTCCAGAACATCTCTGCATATAACAACGGAAAAGTCGAGACCGTAGTCCTACGGTTAGAACGTGAGGATGATGGGCGCCAGAGATGGAATTATGCCTTACGCGTGGCCTGTATTCTGGAGTTGACGGTTGGTTGGGATATGCATCACCAACTGTTTGCCGAATTAAAAATAGCTAAAAACTCAGATTTGAGGAACACTGGCGGTGATTCTTACGGTGAGCTCGATATGGATTGGACCATACCAACAGATCCGACATCCGATGACTCTACCAAAATCGCTCAGACATGGTTGGAGACTTGTGTTTCCAAGCACACTTCGTGCCACCAGACGGATGGAAATTCTCAAATGCCGTCAAGGTTCCTAGATATCGGCGATCCAATATACAAAGGCTTTGTGGTCCTTAGAGAGGCTTGCGATAGCTTACCCACAGATTCAAGATATGTTGCGTTAAGCCACTGTTGGGGTACGGCTCGGGTCATCACAACCACACAAGCTAATATGGAGGAACATAAGCATGCCATTAAATTAGAGTCGCTACCTCAAACATTCAAAGATGCGCTATTCATCGTGCAGAAGTTTGGGCTTCGGTACGTGTGGATCGACAGCCTGTGCATCGTCCAAGACGATGCCGACGACTGGCAAAGAGAAGCGGCTCGGATGGCGGATGTATACCGAAACGCTTACTTCGTCCTCGGTGCTACCAGAGGTGAGTCTGATGCGCAAGGATTTCTCGGTCCTAGGATCAAGACGCCCGGGTCTGCCGTCCTTGGCGATATTTTGCCTACCCCGTGGAACACGGATCTACTTCCGCGCCGACGTGAGCCGGTTGTGAAGTACGCCAACTGGTACCACATGATTGAGCAATATACTACGCGAAACATAACCAAAGACTCGGATCGGTTACCTGCGTTACTTGGTGTAGCCAACGCACTTGGTGCGATCACTGGCGACGGTTACATCGCGGGGATTTGGCTTGGGGACTTACTTGAAGGATTGACTTGGTGCGCTGCGAATGATGAGGGACTAGAACACCCTCAGACTAGGACCGGTCCGTCGTGGTCTTGGGTTTCAGTTAAGGGCCCGGTGCAATTTCCCATATATTCCTGGTACGATTATAGCGAAGGGTGGGAATTTAAGCAAGTAAAATTCAAGCCTCTAGCTAGCTACGTCACGCATTCTTTGGCCGACGGCAGCTTACACCTCACTGCCCCCATCGTAACGGTCATTGGACATCAACCAAAGCCAATCAAACAACCGGTCGAGACAGAAGACTGCCAGAACCCCATTTCTCCCCATCTGTTGATACTATTTTCAGCTTCCAGCACGATTCTAGAGAGTTCTGGGTTGAAGGTGCGTTTGACATCAAAAATGGTAATCACGAAGGCCCGTTATTCGTCGTTTTCCTCGTTAGACTTCCATTCCGATCTGCAGACGGGATCTTCGATCGTCTTTTAGGTGTTGTTCTGAAGATGACGGGGACCGTTTACGAAAGGGTCGGTTTTATTGACAGCTGTATCCTCCGATCTGACACCAACGATGGTGAGCAGACTTTCTCAAAACTTCCTGTAGACACTAGTATATTTCGATACCAAGAGGCAGCTGAACTAGATGGCGCGGATAGAGATGCTTCCGAGGACGACCTCGTTATCAGTAGGCAAAAAATCATCTTGAAGTAGATAGGGGGGTTGTAGTAGCAATTCCAACAAGTTGGCGATAGCAAGTACCTATCCAACTATTATACCTAGAGACTACATGTTAAAAACTGTACAAACGTCTTTCTTATAACAGTGTTCAAGATCTAATAGAAGATGGAAAAAAAGAGCAAAAAAAGACCTCCGAATCGGGGAATCGAACCCCGGGCTTGACGGTTTTCAGATTATTTTGGAAACCATGAGAGCGTCAAATGTTAGCCACTACACCAATTCGGACTTATCACGGAAACTGATTGTCAAGTGAAAATTTCAAGTGAAAATTTCAGATGAAATTTTACTTCATATGCCCCAGTTCTCTTAACGCTGTTTGCCCACATGAGTTGGGATTGTTTAACTTAGATGCCTAAGGTAAAGATTAGTACGGTTTACCTGTGAAAATTGAAACTAAAGAGGCTATAGCTCCAAAACGTTGTTGCTTCCAAAAACATGGCGAACCAAACATGCAAGCGTCGTTCTTCAATACGATGCGTACCTGCCTAGGTATTATCCAAACAACTAGGTTGAGATTCAATTGGTGAAGTGGTTTTTCCCTCTACACTCGTCTCATATGATACAACGACTTCTCAATCAGTTATAGTCTTAAATTTTGTCCTCTTTTTAAAGGACCTTTTCAAGACTAATTGCCATATGGGAATCGCCTCATGCTCAGAGTTGATATAATACGTACTTCTCCATACATTTATTTTACCTGGAATATCCCACAGAATTCCCTCTTAAGCGACCTCTACACTTGGCAATGCAACCAGGCATTGATATCACTGGCTTTTTGTTGTTACAGTAACCTTGGAGGCTTGGCTGGGAGTAATAGTAACTGGTCGGAGGCCATGTAAAGCCTAGTCAGATGTTTCTTTCTAATAAATGTTGGGTAACTTAGTAATAATTAATCGGTAGATTGTAATGATGGGATTGTCACCGTTGGTATATATATGCACCTACAGACCAAAGACTGATGGTTGAAAAGTTAGTGAATGGATCATTAGCAAATGCGATATATCACTGTTCCTGTGTTCAACCAAGTGACCACATTACTCTTAGAAGGTTGTGACTGCCCGAGCATCATGACTTAATTTCCGAATTTTGCATCTATTCTTTTCTCGTAGACTACTACTATACATACGTGATCTATGGATCATATAATTGCACCGTTGCTTCATCAGTGCTGGTTGTTGTTGGTGTAGAAAAGCCTGACCTGTTCGTCTGAATCAGGTGGCTTGAGAGTACTGTCCTTGTCCTGACCGCCCCTTAGAACTGCGTAGATCGAACGCCCCTACCACCAGGCCAGCCGAGAATTTGTGAAATGGGGGAAGAAAAAAAAAACCGCCGTTCGCCGAGAAAATGCACGATGGAAGAGTATGCGATACCGAGATGTGAAAAGTAGAACCAGAATGCGAAGACTCCATCCATGCAGCTATACCTTTTTCCGTTCTACTTTTAGGAAACGGGTCAACTCCAAATGGTTTTATCGAACAGGAACAGCTTGGAAAGCCGGAAGAAACGTAGGAAATGGGTATCATCGCGTCGCGAATGCCGAAATTAGAAACAGGTTCATGATATTATGTGTTCCTGGAGGTGTGTCACTGGCGAGCAATTAGGGCGTAGAGCAATATCGAGAGCTAAGAGTTGCGAAGCATAGGGATCATGAACAAATTAATAAACTTCCTCGAAGTCAGCAAGAGAGGGCGTCCAGGATCCGAAGGACTTGTGTTTAGGTGCACGTTGAAGTTGAGAAAGGAGATCGTCTAGGTCACCCCAGTTTTCGTCATCGTCAGCAAACTTGCGATGCTTCTTGGTCAGAATATGCTGAATACGATGTTAGCAACTTATCAAACAGAAGAAGGGTAGAAAAGGTAGAAAGCTAAAACATACCTCGTCGAAGTCTGCGTACTTCTCCGCGCAGTTTTCGCAATAACCAGGCTTTAGGTCGGCTTTTTTAGGTGGGGCAGTCTCCCGCTTTGTTGCACGTGGAACGGCCTTAGAGACAGTCTGGGTATCCTTGCCGGCTGCAGCCTCCTCGACCATATCAAGCTTTCGGCTGGAAGTACGACTCATGGTGCTAAAAGAGCGTTTGGTAGGAACCTCATCTCGGAGACTCGTGTCTCCTTTGCGGCGAGAACTGAAGTCTTGAGAAGTCGCGGTGCTATTGCGCTTCAAGACCTGACGTTGAAGGCCATGAACCTCCTTGCTCAGACCAGTTATGACCCCAGGTGTTGTGGCAGTGGACGAAACCATCTGGGACCGGATTGCCGACGTTACATTAGAAGGCTGGACACCAGATGCCACAGGTTCGCCGCCGAACAGTCGGCTGGCAGCACGACCAGTGAACGCTTGGGGACGAGTGTCCGCGAAAGGACCGACAGTAGGCTTCGACGGAATAGACATCTCAAACGAGGCGACACTAGAGCCCCGACAATGGCTGTTTTCCATCTCGCCTAGCGATCGCTTGCCAGTTACAGGTTTCGGGGGCTCCATCTTGGTCGGAGGTTTGATAGAAGGCTTAGCTTCGGTGGCAGCTCTAGTCACTTGGACTTTCGGCTTGGGCTGAGGCCGGGTCTCTCGTTGTTCATACTCATCTATAAACGGGCAACGCCCTAAAGCAGCAGTACGAAATTGGGGCCAATCTCCCTTGGATTTCTCTGCAACTTTCTTGTACTCGCGAACCATAATCGGTTTCTGCTTCTCCTCGACGTCGTACACATAGATGTACGGGCCTTTGAAATAATGAAGCTCCTGGGCGTTCGCCGTGGGATCTCGGTCGGAGGGACCGTTGACGCGCTCATTATGGAGAAGATGAAGTAGGTTGCGATCTTCGGTCGTGCGAGTCTCGGTGGTCCTAGTCTTGCGCGCTCCATAAGCGATCTCCGCACTGACATAAGGATCAGTCTCGAGAAGCAGATCCAACATTCGCTGCAACTTGTCCAAAGACCAGATTTTCTTTCCCATTTCTCTTGCACGCAGAAGGACATCCATGTTGCGCTTAGGCGGCTCGATCTGAGTCTGGGAGGGCATCTTTCGGGTCCGAACGTCTCCATCAAATCTACGTTTCGTAGAAGCCTCTGAGAGTCGAGTCAACAGGGATGGGTTGATAGTCTTCACTTCTCCCTGTTCCTGTTCTTGTTCCTGCTCTTGTTCCTGAACATGCTCTGCATGCTTCTCGCTGGCCGCGTGCTCACCATCTCGTCGGCTTACACTCTTCTCGGATGGGATCGATCGGGTAGTGACAACGTGTGTGATATCGATGGAGAAGAATGCCGCCTCACGCTATATAAGGAATCGAGTCAATAAGCAAATTAACCATCAAGGAATATGATTGCAAACTTACAGCACCCAATGCTGCAATCTGCTTGGTGAGCTTCTTGTGTACATCGTTGGGGACCTTCTCGAAGTAAAAGACCAGCTTAGGAAACCTAGCTCGGTGATGTTGCTGCCAGATTTGTATTTCCTCAACGTCCTTCTCGGTATATCCAGGGTTCGCAGGTACAGCCTGTTGGTGGTGGTGGTGATGGCCAGATCTCTCTTTTGCCAACTTGTTCTCATAACTGTTCGCGTTGCGACGTGTCTGTATCGGAATCTGACTCCTAGAGACCCGTTGCTGTTGCTGTTGCTGCGAGGGAGACTTGATGGGACGTTGAGAACCACCTTCGATTATCTGTTTCTTCGCAGGAGGTGGCTGGCCATACTGTTCCTCACGCTGTACCTGGGCGGCGGGGCGCTTGTGCTTAGCAAGGAGAGCCGAGCTACGCAGGGGCGAATTGGCGACATTCTGGTTGGTAGAGAGAGGGACTCGTCTACCAGACATGACGGAACGAGGTTTAGGAGTTGGAGATAAGGATACGGCTGCCATATAATTGAGGTATTACTTTTAGAGATGTTGGATGTTGGGTAGGGGGTGGAGTTGGCGGTGGATGAAGAGTGATGGGTAAATGGGTGACGGATGGGCGACCTAGACTAGTATAATAATTTGAAGATTTGAAGACCTAATTGATAACGTATTAGGTATCAGATATCTTGATCGACAATTATTTTACTAGTTGGTTTATGAATTGAGTCGGCGCCAACAAGGAAATCGGAATTGGAATGATTCGACTCGGAAAGAGAATTCGTCGATGTTACCAAGTTGTACCGAGTTCGAGTTTGCCCAGAGGTATTTGGTATGGAGAGGTATGGAGAGGTATTGTGCTTATGCTTATGTCCGAACCCTGACCCTTTAAAGTTGGCACGCGACGAACCGTGGCACAACACGTCGGATTTGAAGGGCAAAACACGCGCAATTCTCCCACGTCACAGTGACATTGAGGTCGATTTACGAAAAAATAAATGATAGTAAGGACTTCAATGACACAAAAGACGCGAAAAGAGACTTCAACTTCGACGTGTAAAGGCGTGAAGGTCGAGTCGAACTTGGATAGCTCAAAGCTCAAAGCTGGTGGTGGGCAAATGATGGAATTGGAGAGTTTTAGCTCTAAAGCTTTTGAGGGATGAGTGGACAATCCGCGCTAGCACTAACAATTTTCCAAAATCAACAACAAGGGTTCCGGCGTTTGTGCACGGGCCAAATTGACATCACTGTCAGCCCCCACTATTGATGTGCACGGCAACCACAGAAACCGCACTAACGGTGTGCCACACAAACTGCCATAACTGCTGCCATAACTGCCTTTAAGCCACAGGTGCCACACTTTTCTCCAAAATGTTTAGGTAATACAATTGCCAGTTACCCCACATTGCCCACATTGCCCACCACCTAGCACCCATTTTTTCAGATTTTTCAGATTTTATCTTGGAGTGATCGACCAATCATCTTTTCGACTTTTCAGTTACTCAGCGAAAAAAATCCGAAGAAAAAGCTCTACGATTTCAACCCTCCTCAATCCTCCGAATTACAACATCAAAGCCCAACCGGTTGCACCAGATATTAATCTGTGAGCCTTGGTGTAAGTATGAAAACCGGATGTTTACGTTCTAAAGTTCTCTCCTCGTTTGGGACCAATTGAACTTTAATATTTATTTATTACCCCTTTCGGAAATGCCCCAAGCAATCGCGTGATGCAATTGGTTGGTTGGTTTAGGTGCTCTTTTCCTTTTCCCTCTGTTCATGCTAACCATGAAGCTCCATCGACTCCCATTATGGCAACTCGAACGATACCTTAAGCCTCACCCAATTCCCCTTTCTCCGCAATTCGCACGTCCATTCTCAACCAATCCTTCCTCTTCCCGAT